AGGTTAATCAGGCTACAGTCGACAGTGTTTTAAAATTGTTATTTTTTATTCACTTTATTTTTATTATAATTTTCTATCTACGTGACTTTATCGAGAGAACCAAAGAATATAGTTTAATACATTGAGCACGCGTCTGACAATGTCACATGGTAAACAGTCGGCGCCTGTCAGACCCTCAATCCAATCGGCGGCCATCCAGGTCGGGGAGACTGCGCGCCCCAACAGCACTTCCGTGCTGTTGGGGCGCGCAGTCTCCGACACCACGGCGATTAGAAGCAATGGACGCGGTCTACCCCCAGTAACATGGCCAGCGCGCCTTCACAGCAGTGGAGAAAGCAACGTGGGTTGGGTGGTGGGGTCCCCTCCCCACCCAACGTCCCCACTCCCCCACCGTGGGCCACGCCCACCCAACGTCCTCACCCCCACCGTGGGCCACGCCCACTCAACGTCCCCACTCCCCCACCGTGGGCCACGCCCACCCAACGTCAACTCCACTACCATGGGCCACGCCTACCCAACGTCCTCACTCCACTACCGTGGGTCCCCTCCCCACCCAACGTCCCCACTCCACCACCGTGGGCCACGCCCACCCAACGTCCCCACTCCCCCACCGTGGGTCCCCTCCCCACCCAACGTCCCCACTCCACCGTGGGCCACGCCTACCCAACGTCCTCACTCCACTACCATGAGCCACGCCCACCCAACGTCCTCACTCCCCCACCGTCGGCCACGTCCACCCAACGTCCTCCACTACCATGGGCCCCCTCCCCACCCAACTTCCCCACCGTGGGCCACGCCCACCCAACGTCCTCACTCCCCCACCGTGGGCCACGCCCACCCAACGTCCTCGGTTCCCCACCGTGGGCCACGCCCACCCAACGTCCCCACTCCCCCCCCACCGTGGCCCCCCGCCGTCTCCCGCTGGCTCGCCATGGGCGACTACTCGGAGCGCGCTTTGATGGCGGCGTGCGCGCTGTCGTTCGTGGCGGGCGCGCTGCTGGGCTGGCAGGGCAACAAGACGCGCCGCAGGTTCCTGGACTGGAGGAGGCGGCGGCTGCAGGCGCAGCTCGCCCAGACGCAGAAGAAGCTGGACCTGGCGTGAGCTGCGGCGGCCTTCAGCGGCGCTGCGGTCGCAGTTGTCGCCTCGCGTGCGCTCGGGTGATTGGTGGTAGTTCTGCCGTGGTTGGTGGTTGCGGTGTTGCTGGTGTTGCTGGTGATGGTGGTGGTGTTGCTGGTGGTGGTGTTGCTGGTGACCTCTCGGGCCGCATCGGGGCCAAGCCACGACAAGGTCAGTCAGGTCGGCGAGCAGCCTCGGACATTTAAAACGAACTTGAAGAAATTCACCCCGGAAGCACAAGAGGCGTAGCACCCTACAAGTCCTGGAGTGCTGAAGTTTAATGATTTCTTTTATTTCACCTTTATTTAACCTTTAACCAGGTTAAAAATACATTGAGGTTAAAAACCTATTTTGAGAGGGGGACTTGGCAAGAAGTCAACAAAAAGAAATCACCAAAACAAAAAGAAATCACCAGAAATCACCACAAACAATACGAAATAGTACAATACAAAACATAAAAAAAACAATTACAATGGTTTAGACATGTTCTTCTCACTATGACGACGAGGCATGTGCCAGGCTAGGTGCACCGAGCTCACATGGCTTAGAAGACAAACACACCACACGAGTCTGTTTTGTGTTAGCCCTACCCTACACAAGCTCTCTATCAGTTCGCAGGTGATTTCTAGGAGAAGCAAGTATTTAAAGTCACTTTTTTGGGCGTTATAGCCATGATGTTGCTGCAATTATTTTTTAACTTAATTGGGTGACCTCATAATTGTACGCTTTTCCCACAGCTATGAAGTCAAAGGCCCTAATAATGAATATAAATTAATATAATATGTTTGGTTTTTGGACGTAGAGATGGCATGGAACAATTATCACGATATAAATAATTTGCAAGTAATTATTGATAAATGCAGGCATTAGATTTTGGTCCCGTCAAATCTCAGGCTGCCAGTGAAATGCCTCGCCACGTGGACTTTACAAGCTGAAGATTACGACTAATGGTGCTTCACCTGTATTACACTTACCAAACCCACACGGAAACTCCCGAATTAAGTGGTCATTTCGCGTGAAGAAGTTTGTTTATACAGTCAGGGGCGGAGCCAGGATTTTCAGCCCGGGGTGACATTCAACAAATGTTAATTTCAAGAATGATTGAATGAGAAATCGGCTGTTCCCCAGGCCATCGGTTGGTGACTCACTCTGACAATGCAGTTGCACGGAGTCCCCCAGACTTGTACACAGAATGTTCCAGATTTTTTATTTTTTATTTTTTCTGGTGTGACAATTGTCTACCCCCCTGGCTCCGCCCCTGTATGCAGTACGTGCAATTAATGTGATTGTCACGTTTGTATGCTGTGCTTTGCATTGTTACGTGACATGTACACGTTTCATACATATTTTGCCAATCCACTGCTGGATAGCGGCTTCCCCCCATGCCGTTTTGGTCGATCCACTTACCCTCCACTGTCCACAAAAGCCGAGAAGTATGCATGTTGGTCGCCCATCTCAGCACACTTATCCAGATGATAAGCTGCCTAGATCTGATGAGATTGGGCTCATTTACAGGTTATTTGGTCAAAGGATTTACACTATATATTGCTGATAAATATTCAAAATCACACTACGTTGCGTTTGGTTGCCTAATAACCTACTTGTACGGACGTTCTGTTTTAATTATACACAGTTATACAAAATGATGGGTTTTGTGTTTTTTTCCCCCCCACAGAATGAAGCTTTCCTGGACGCTCAAGACAAGTACAGCAGCTGTGTTTTTAAATGGCTACAGGATTTCACAGGACTTCACAATTACAGAAGACCATATGCCTCAATATTATCTCGGCATCATTCTCTACTGGACATCACATCTGTGAAAAAGAGCTTCATAGCTCATCGGATTTCTCCAGTCTAAATAAAGATTCTGTTTTTGATTATCACTAATTACACATTGCACAACATCAAAATAATATATAGTGCTTGTGGCACTTTATCAATAACACTGCCTTAAAAATAAAAAGGTAATTTGCATATATGTGGTGTGAAGAAAGGCCAACACCTTGAACGTCGCCTATGATAGTTTTAGATCTTAAGGCTACAGTGTTATTGACGAATGTGCTGAGGTTTTTGTTGTTATCTGTGCGTGTGCACTACCTCCAATGCAGCATTACCAAAGTGTTTGGTATTTAGTTTTTGCCTACAGCTTCACGGTGTCTATTGGTTGTGAAGTGGTCAACATTCTCTACTAAATTTCTTGATTCGAGTTGCCGATTACACGTTTTATTCCAGCTCGACGTGAGCCCGGCTGAAAACGCTGATCACAGAGCGGAATAGGAACAGAAACTCCGATTTCGGCGCGAGAGAGCCCAATGGTGATTGCACATTTAATAATCGCAACGTGTCACTGCATTTTACAAGGTGAAATCGCAACTTGAGAAATGTTAACCACATCGTTGGTGTCTAAGGATAAGTTTTTGTTATGTCACTAATATTGTGCAGTTATAAACTTGCATTTTTAGCCTTATCGGTTGTGAACTCTGTTTTTTTTACATGTTCACACAACTCCATTGCATTTACAGAAGAACTGTTAATAGTGGACCTACGCCCCGCATTTCCTATTATATGTAGGAGTTGTGGTCCCCGGAAACTTGTGGTAATCTACGATTTCACCCATAATGCATAGCAAAGCGCTTTCCTAATGCACAGTTTTAAGAGGAGTCACGTGCAAAATACATCTTATTCGCAGGTTGTTTTGACAATTTTGATCCCACGAATGAGGAGTAAATTCACGACAGTGGTTCCTCTTACCACCGTGTATCAGAGGGGTTCTGCATACCACAGCGTCCATCAATATCAAGCCTGGGTGTCCTCTTGCCAGTGATTTTATAAAACATGAATTTCATGGAAGCATTGTGGGACCCTGGGGGATAGACACGCTGTGGAGGAGGTCTTCAGCGCACTGAATGACGATTGCAGACTTGCATTACCTTGAACCATAAAGTCTTGCACAAACATGTTGAGTAACGTTGGATAAGCACGAGTTTGTATTCCTTTATGCTAGAAGCTTGTGTTAGACCTTTCAAGCATGCTTGCACATCTGCTAATCTTGTGAAGAATACTGTAGACTTTGACTAAGGTGAAGGGACGTTCCTTCAAACTTTTGGTGGCACAGTACTGACACTATCAATACGTTGTAGAAGCTTTGGTTAAATATCTGAAATGTATTTCACGGTCAATCACAGTTGTTTCATATGTGACCACTGATAAGTCGAAATGCTATCAGCAATTAGAAAACAGATCTCATGTTAACATTAAGTAAAAGAGGGTGGGTGGTGCAGTGTTTAGCACATTGCACCTGAATTCGATTTGTAAACACAGCTTAATGGTGCGTGATATCTAAATCAGTGCTGGTCACCCCCTTCACTGACCAGGATGGTGAAGTATGGGTCAAAAATCTTCATAACCAACACGGTGTGGGCAGGCCTTCATAAGTGGTTTGGGAAGCGACTAATATAAAGTGCATGTGTTTGTCATTGAAGTGAGTAAAGGTGCAGCCATGCAATTTTCTTGCTTAAGTCACTGCCGTTGAAACGGCCTCCATTAGAAGAATCTAGATAGCTCCTCTAAAAGGTATTTGACCTATTCTCCACGCTGGCCAGACGTATTGGGAAGAAATGGGAATGCCCACATTTTTACACCACACGTTTATATTGATGGGTGGACAGAGGCTGGGTGTGGGGGTTAGAGAGCAAATACAACTTGCCCATTGCATGAAGTGCCGCATCTGGAGGTGGAAACGGTGACCCCCCTGGAGATTGCCAACCCAGTGTGCTCACCCCGTCCCACTTCAGTATTACACATGAAACAATCAGACGGATGGGCAATACTGTACACCTAACAGAACACGTGGACATGATTAATTAGGGCAATGGATACATGGTTCGTGAGCACGCATTCCAGTTGAACTGGTTTTTATTTTACGAAAAAAAACGAGCAAACTCCTCTGGAATGGCCGCTCAGCTACAACTACTAAAGATTGAGGTAAAGCCAAACCGGTAACCACAACGTTTGTACTCTTCTATTTTACGAACGTTTGTTTTTTACTAACGTCTCAAACATGTCATTTGAAACAATATATGCAGCAGCACTTGAACCATGCTGAAGACCTTTGATATTTGTTGATTTAGTATCGGGGGATTTTCCCTAGATTTTGCTTCTCTTCTGCATTGTATTTTTGAAAGATGTTGCTGCATTTTTACAGCACCTTTCCTAATGTTGCAATGATAACATTTCATGAACATTAACGTATACAGTTGCATTTAACATATTACCAAAATCATTCTCAGTGAATTTTGTATGATTGCTGTATATCACAAGACCGATTGCTAAATATGATATTCCAATAATAAACGCAGAGTTAAACTTAAAAGCATCGACTAGAAGTTTGATAAATACACAATCTAACTGCTTATTCTTTAAAACATACACTTCGTACAGTGTTCATCGGTCGAAACGTACACTTGACAAAGTACCCATTCATATAATTTAACATTTACATTAAAACAAATCTCATTTTAAACGACAGACATTTTAATAAACATGTGGCCCATTATACACAACTGCAAGACAACAGACGATGGCTATCTTGGGCAATTAAAACAATGTCGGTTCAAATTTGACCTTGTGCAACGTTGCAGATGTTTTCCAATAATTTGTAACCGGACCTCGTATAATAAAGCCTTTGGCTAAATGCAAGTAGAGTAAGACTTCCTAATTGGTGATAATTTCTGAGCCATACGTTTTCCTCGGTCCCCAAAAGCGTGTAAAGTTTGACCAAATAATTTTAGTGGCATTCCGCGATTGCGATGTTTAATTTCTGTGTAAATTTTTAGTACATCGGTTTGCCAATTTTTTTCTTAAAACAACTAGCTCTACTTCTCTGATACTGTAGTTACAGTTACACCATATTATACAGAAGCTTCCTCCTTTTTCGTACTGTGAAATGCAGTGCTTCCTCAAATGTGACATCTGAAACTTCCCTCCAATACAATTGTGTAGTTTCTTTTGTTTAGGTAAAAAAACGACTGGTAATATTATTTGAAAATTAAAAGATATCTTACAACCATTCATCAAGCCAAATCCAAAGGAAGCAGTCTCCATACCGTGTCAATCATATGGAGTTGTTTGACCATACTTCACCGTATTGGTCGATGCCCAAGTAAAACATGCAACATCTGGACAACGTTGGCACATGGTTGGAACCGTTGGACCGCTGTTGGTCCAACGTTCCGTGGTTACTGGGTGTGGGTTGGTGAGGACGGTGGGGTTACCGAGAACCTGTTGGATATTGCTTTCCATTCGGCCTTTTCAAATGGGCTCTTTGTGTTGACTTAATGTCGTGTCGACATTGCCAAGTCGACACAAATTACTTTCAACACTTTTCACGAGCACCCTCCATCGACGTGAATGTAACCATATTTGTGCCAACTTTCCCATTGATAGCTGTGGATGAAGATCTGCAGTGGTGGCCTTTAGTGAGGCCCCTGACGTGTGACCCCCGATAATACACAAATCTGAAAACACCCCCCATCGTACTGTCAAACACAACAATGGTTTAAAATGTGTGATGGCCTTCGCACTGCAGTCTTATCGGCGAAAGTGGCCCACCTCTGAAAAATGTGTGAAGAACACTGATGTAGATTAACAACTGTAAATTTATATTGATGTGAGTAGCAGAGAATATCGCTGCGATGCCTGCTTCATATTTGTGAATCGGGCATTGGGTCGTTACATGTGTAGTGACATAGAATGGGTCACTGGGGCGCGTAGCACCGGTTACTGGTAGAGAGCGGGATTGTGGGTGTAGTAGCACGGTCTACGAGCAGGGCAGGTGAAGCGTGCCACTGGGGCACGTAGTGCTGGTTACTGATAGCGGGGTTGTGGGTGTAGTAGCACGGTCTACGAGCAGGGCAGGTGAAGTGTGCCACTGGGGCGCGTAGCGCTGGTCACTGGTAGAGAGCGGGGATTTGAGGACACAGCAGCCGGTCTGCCAGCAGGGCACGTGAGAGGCTGGGGTAAGGGATGTAGGGTAAGGTGACAGAGAGGACACGTGGGGGGAAGCCCATAATCTTCTGGTAGGTTCCAGAAGGGGGCATGGCCGAGGGCGGAGCCAGGCCACGCTGGGGAGGATAAAAGGGAGGCCCCGACGCTGGGTCGGGGCTGATTCGGTTTGGGAATGAAACCCGTTGTCTTCACAAGTCTTCAACCCTGTCTTCACCTCCTCGGCGTTGTGCTGTCCTGACCCATGTGTAGTTATTCCTGTACTGTGGAAGTGGAGCATAAATGTGTGTGCCCCCTACTATAAGTGTCTCTGAAATGACTACTACACATGTTCCATGGTTCTGTTTTGGGTGACCACAGGCTGGCACCAGAGGCTTTTTAATTTTACATTTGTGCACCAAGTGTCTGCGCACTTAAGCTCAGACATACCGTAGTATTGTTTCAGATGCAAGTACATACTCATTATTGAAACAAGTTGAATATTGCAACATATCTTACCTATACATGAAAGTACAATGTATTTTTTGTGATACAGTATGCGCACATCTAAATATATATTTACAGTGTGAAATATAGTTTCAATTACGTGTTTTTTCTTAGGTAAATTCCCAGTCACAGATAAAGTCTGTGGCGACTGGTATCTAAACCGGGCCTGCCCACTGTCTTTATCAGCTCGCACTGACCAGCTTGGTGAAGTAAGGTTAAGCAACAACCACGACTGACATGGATTTTAACTAAGAGTTGATCAACATACAGCTGCAAATAATGTGTTTACTGTCAGTTATATAATAATTAACATTGTGTTGCACACACCATCTTCAGATAGCAAATGGTTTAGTAACCTAGCACATCAATACCAGCTTTACATGCACGCATATGGGTCGGTTCTTAGACCAATGGTGTGCACGCTACAGCCCACAGGCAGTTATGGCATGGGTTTTACTCGCGCGTGATCAAAATGAAAATATGAAGGGTCAGCAAAAACCGCTGCTTGCTGTTGCTAGCGAACCGGCTACCAGGTCCACCGTTGTTTGTGAATGGGGTATCACTCTTGCTGTCGTTGGTGTCATGTTGGCTTAGTTTTCCATTTCACTCAACTGGCTCGAGAGGAGGTAAATGATATCCCTGATGTTGGCCCATGCTGGATGAAACATTGCACACCCCCTGCGTTAGAGGCTGGTTGACATTGTAGACAATTGAATGCCATCGAGTCGCATATTGCTAACGCATTTTTGTTGAACTTCGTCATCAAGCCTCTTGCAGCATTTTGATAGTGTCAGGCAGCGTGTAAGCATCATGACGACATTCCTGAAGTCCTCCGGGAAGTTCTCAGACACAAACACATTGAGAAAGGGGTTCAGGGCACTGCTGAGGCTTGTGAGGGTGAAGCAGAGCCTATACGCGCTTCGGAGTGTCCCATCCAGGTCGCATTCCCCAAATTTGATGGAACGCACCAGAAGGAGCAAGTTGTATGGCAGAAAGCTGACCACAAAGATGGCCAGGATGGCCACAACGAGGCTGATGATCTTGACTTTCTGGCGCCTCTCCACGACACTGGTGCGTCGCACGATGTGGATGATGCAGCTGTACGACGCCACGATGAGGCACAGTGGAACGAGGAACCCCACAAACACTCTGAAGTAGTTGATGGTGATCACCCACGGCTCTTTGTACTTTTCGTAGCAGACTTTGTGGTTGTGTGAATCGTTGAAGAGTTGCGGGTGCGTGACGAGAGGGATGTGTGAGAGGATGAGCAGGGCCCACACGAATGCGCACGCCGCACTTGCCACAGACATACGCCGTAAGCCCAGAGACTGCAGGGGAAACGCCACGGCCAGGCAGCGGTCAAGTGCAATGCAGCATAGGAACATGATGGTGGTGTAGTTGTTCGTGTAGAAAACAAAGCCGATCAGCCTGCACAAGTTTTCGCCATAGTTCCATGAATCGTGATTCCGTGTGTAGACGATCCACATGGGAAGGGTCATGAGGTACAGGAAGTCCGATATGCAAAGGTTCATCAAATAAATCCCCAATATGTTCTTCTGTTTAATGTACATGTAGGTCAGAAATATGGCGATTAGGTTCCCGAAACTTCCAGTGATGAATACGAGAGAGTATATGGCTGGAAATAAACTCATCTCGTATGAATCGTCATCAGGTTTTACATGTGATTGATTACATGCATTATTTCCTTCTGTCATCTTTGTAGGTTCTGCCAACATCACTGAAAAAAATGAAATCGTTCAAAATAACTTCAAGGTTAGGATATTATTTACTATAGATCATTCATTTGTCACTGTTGTGATTACAGTAAAAACCCTCTTAACGACCACCCCTGTTAACGACAGGCCTCCATAGTGTAGTGTATAGTGTAGTGTACAGTGTAGTGTATAGTAGTGTAGTGCCACCATTCCCCTGTTAATGACGGAATATTGTAGGTACAGTAAATGTGAATTCATGCCTTGATTAACCATGTTTATTTTTTTGTTATGTATTTATAATGTTGTTAGTATCTTTCTGTATTAATGTCCATTTATATATTATAAAGTACGTTTTTGGGGTGAAAAAGGGTAATCTTGATTTGAAGTTTTCGTGACTGCAGGAATCCTCCACACTCTTTGGTTCTCGCGGTAAAGTCACCACGCAGCAGTAGTAGGTAGTAGAAAACATAAAAAATACATCACGACGCTTCGATCCATTATTATTATTATTTTTTCTTCTACCTACGTGACTTTACCGAAAAAAACAAAGAGTATGGAAAAAGGTAACTTTCGATGCTATCGGAACGAATTAAGTCTTTAAGGTGTACCTACTAAACTCACTTAACGACCGTTTTCGTGGAACCAATTGCCGTCGTTAAGAGGGGTTAGACTGTCAATTAAAAATGTTCCCAATTTTATCCAAATGTGGCCTTGGCGTCATGTAATGAGACGACGTATCCATTCGGATCTCTCACAGCAGGACATTGTTTTTAGTTATTAAATGGTACATGGAAGCAATTGTCATGCAGCTTCCTCTGAGAGAGATCCCTTCAAGTGACCTGTGGTCCATACAATGCTAGGTTCCACTTTCCCACCCACTATGCATATGAGAGTATTGTTCGTCACATAACAGTTAAACTAATATTAAATGATCAGAGCTGGAATTTAGACAAATTAAGTTCATAATTAAATTTAGAGTGGGTGGTTCTTTGTCTGTGCACTCCCTGCACTTGAAAACCTGGTTTATCACGGGCAGATTGCAGGTTTTGAAACCAGCATCTCGAATGCCAGCTGAGCGCCAATCTTTCTATGGAATGACAAGTGTTTTACTTACTACAACACAGTACTCGTTTTATTGACCCCAAAGTATTAATGGGCTCGGTCAACTCAGGGCTGTGATGTGAACTCACAACCTTCCAATTGTAAGTCAGCTGTTTGAAGCAGTTGGTTTATATATGCATGTACAGCCCTTTTGTCAATCCACTGCTGGATGAAGGCCTCCTCACGCCGTGTGGGTCTCGGAGGTTATTTGACCAGACCTCACCACACTGGTCAGAGCGGGTGGGGAGTGATTAATAAAAGCGTAGAGGTAGAGTACAACACATTGATTTTGTTGACCCTCTGCTACTCAGCACGTGTCCCCCACTGCCATTTATGATAGCTCTGTGATCGCCCCTTAACAAAGCTCAACTGCGCTGACGTTCCACGCTCTGATGCGATCAGGTGCATGCCATGCGATTTGGTCAAATAATATACTGTACAGGGCGGTTCAGATGTCTTGTTACCCCCATTTCATTCTCTAAAACTTAATATTTTTAAAAGCAAGGTTCATTTCAAACAGACATCAATGAAACATTTTTTAGGGGTTAATTAATTGTGAGGCCAGAATACATCTGGGTCACCCTGTGCATACGCAGTTGATAAATTAAGTTCGCAAGTCATTAAATTATCAGTACGGGACTTAATTACGATTTATATTAGGTATATGTTATATCCATAAATATACATTGCGAATATAATATCTTAATGATAAGTAACAACAAGAATATTGTACTTGCAAGCCAAGGTGGTGTTGATTCGTATGGATGTATCTTCTGGAAGCTGGTGACAAAACTGATGAGAACGTCGACTTGGCAGTCACCCCACCACCGCTTTTCTCGCTGGCTCTGGTTTTTCCAACCTCTGGTTCTACGCAGTCTGTAATGCACTTGTATGTTTTGTTTTTTACAGTTTCCACGTAGCCCCATGTGTGGGCGTATTGCGTTGCACATCCGTCAGATGAATGCAGAAGTTGATTTTCGCATGGGTACAAATGACCGTGCCACTGGAACTGTGCTTACGTTTGTTACTCATGGGGGGACAAAAAAAACATGCACATAACATGCAGGCGGATTGTTAAAACCTTTCTAAACGTGACGCCAATGTTAACTGTGCATGATACTATAATTATTATGCGATATTCAACTTCAGTTATACTAGGTGCATTATAGGTGGCAGAGGAGAGTTAAAAGGCCGTCAATATGTTGGTAACATTTCCGATACATTATCAGTGGTTCCCAACCTGTGTGCACAGGCCACTCGTGGTTGCAGCAAGCCGTGAGAAACAGTTCCTTGGCCAGATGGAAGATAATGGGTGCGGCGGGCCTTATTCACAACACGCTCAATATTTGTAGTTTGTGGTGGTCCCAAAAATATATGGAGGTTTGTCATGGGTCTGCACATTCAGAAAAGTTGGGTAACATGGCCCCCTTATTGTGGGAGGGGGCAATATTACAGAGCATTTCGTGTTAGTATTCTTATTTGAATGTTCGCATGTTGGCACGCACTTCACGTGGAGGTGAACTGTTCAACGAGTAAAGACGCATCCATTACGCTTCGTAATCCACAAGTCGATTTTAAGTGTCTCTTTAAGCACTCGATTTTAAGTGTCTCTTTAGCACTCGTTTTTTAGTGTCTCTTTAAGCACTCGGTATTCCTCGTATCACAGGTCTCCAATAATTTCATTGTATAATTTGCAATGGATGCAGGTACTTTGAGACGAGGTTTATGATGCATATGACGGAAGCAGTCAATCGCACACGAGATGTAGCAAAACACCTAGGATTTTCAAATACGACGTGTGATGCCAAAATCGGTGGGGCGTGTGAAGATTTACAGCAGTTAATATTGTATAACACATCCATGCTGCCAATTGTATGTTTATCGTTTTATTAGGAAAGTGGTAGTGCAGAGATTACCGCGCTGCGCTACCAACCTGGCAAATGAAGTTTGATTCCCGCTAATGACAAACACTGGTGACGATTGTCTGAATTGGTCCTGTACCTCCTGGATGTCGACTTAGCTTCAAATGTGTACCTGGTGCGATGTGTAAAATGTCGTACTAGTGATACAAAGGTGGCCGGGCATGGTGTTAGCCACCCACCTCCTCATGTGCTGTGCCAGCCTTCATAGGTGCTCCATAACAGCTCTTGCCCCAAAAGTCTGTTGAGGCTATACAGGATCATTGTATTTTATTGCATCTGTCAGTCATCTCAGTCAGTCAACCCATGGCATCTGGGTCTATCCCATTACTTCCTGTCAGCAAGCCTTCGCCACTTCACGTGGCTTCAAAGTGCACCTAGCCTGGCACAAGCTTCGTGGTGATGTCACCGCCACTTAGTGGCGAGAGGCGGCTGTTGTTGTTCTTGACCGAGCTCAAAGAGATGTCCGATTTTATATACGTATATTTTTTGAAATAATGGATTATATTTTATGAACACCCCTTTATGACTGCATAATTAAAACATTGTTCCTACTGTAGTTTTGCTGATATTATCTATCGAGGTTTTCGAAAAAACTGAAATATCCGGAAATTTAAAATAAAACCCCAATTTGGGGTTTTGTTTTAAAGATAATGAGCATTTTCGGTGGCCGGGTGACTCAGAAGTCCGGGCGCCAATTGAGACCCCTGTGATGAAAGCGGGTTCTCAAGTGTCCTCAGTGAATGGTGTCATCCCTGTCACCAATTACCGCACACCCTAACACACCCATTCACATTGAAATGTAGTTCTGCACTTAATTTGACTAAATCACAAATTTTAGAATTAAATATATCGGTTTGACTGTCATGTGATGAAGGTTACTGTCATATGCAGAGAGCATGTAAAAGGCTGTCATCTACTGTGTGGGCCAGAAGCTTCTTACGTGGGCCGCTCTGGAATGAAATGTTGCAGGCTGCTCTCGCAGAGATCGGAGTGGATAGTCCCTACCTTGTTTGTACGCCCGACTTTGCCACCAAACACTGTGCACTTATTGGCCGTGTGACAGGAAGTCTGCCCACAAATATGAATCTGTCTAGCCACCGCACACGCACGAGGACACCGGAATACTTCCCGTAAAACCGCGATGAATCCTTTTTTTTCAGAAAAAAAAAAACGTCGAGCTGTGAGCGTCACGATTACCGTACAGGGTGGTCCAGATGTGTTGTGACCCCCACCCCCCATTTGATTATCTAGAACTTGATAATTTTGTATACCCTTTAGCTAGGTAAGGTAAAAGGTCAAAAGCAATGAGCCTACCTTTACCCTACCTTTTACCCTTACCCCATACAAATTACCCAATTGCAGGGTAATTACTGGGGTACTACTACACATGAAGAAGGTTTATAACAGGTAAATGCTAGGTAGAGCGCTTTATTCATCTATAGAAGACTTTCGATGATTCCAATTGTAAATGGAGGCCACGGACTGCGCCACAGAGCTTTTACCGAGCGGTAAACAACGAGGTATTTACCGGGTAATACTTCACGCTACCTTTACCTTACCGGGTAATTCTTCCGCGCTACCTTTACCCTTTTACCCGGTAAAAAGGGTAAATTACCTTACCTTGCCGAGGCCTAGTGCCACCGGTGGCCAGAGCTACGAGTTGGGGCCACCCCTGGCAACCAGCACGAGATGGCTGTCAACACGCGTCGTGGTTCATGTCAAGAACAACCACCCTGCGATGGTGTTGTGCGGCGAGAGGAGCAGCGACACGCCGCCAAGGTGACGCAAATGCGAGACAAATCAAATATTGGGGCCCCACCTGATCGAGAGCCACACCCCCTGAGCTCGTCATGTCGTTACAACACCACTGCCGTGTAATGTAAGCAATACAAAATACATACACATTTCAGGGGTCAATTAATTGGGAGGGGGGGTCACAATATATCTGGACCACCCCGTACAATTGTTGAAATATGATGCAACAATGTGGAGCTCAGCAGGGTTATGGCTGCGTTTGCAGCGGTACATGTTGCTGCTGCTGCAGTATGGGTCCCAAAGTCATAGTCTACGTACTCGCGGTGTTAACTATTAAACACCTTGGTGGTTTGGCGAGTTGTCGCTTGTCAGGGTCGGGTTTGGAATGAATCAAGATTTATATATATATAGTTCAAACGAATCGTCGCATGCAACACGTACAAGCTTTCCGAGCGACGGTGGCTAGGCACGTGGCCCGTAAGCCAGCACTATGGAGGCAGCGAAGGTCGGTGGATGACACAAATGTTGCGCAATGCCCTTCCTGTTGGGCATCGATGTGCCATACCTTGAGTTTTGAAGAAAAAGTAGGATAGCAAAATGTGGACTACACCTGTCCCATCTGCATGGGATAGATTGTTGCCCCCTCATACGTGTGGGTTTTCTCCAGGTGCTCCTATTTCCTCCCACAGGTCAGCACTAATTGGCCGATAACACCTTAATATATAGAGGACTGCAGAGCTTGGATGAGACTTTTACACCGGCTCACCGCCTGGCTGCCTTTCCTGCTCATCTGTGGTTCCGCCTCACCCCTTGCGTTGCCCTCACTCTTTGAGATTGACCGAATACTGTGCGGCAACACGTTACAAGTTTAAACGATTTCAAATGGGAAAAAAAGCTGACTCTTAGGGAAGTGTAGTGAGCGACTTCCGAGACACGTCGAGTAGAAGGCTTCTTATTTATTAAGAGCACACTGGGCGATACATTGTGTAACGCAGCTACACATAGGCGATCCTAACACGTAGCACCATCTCCGGCTTCGCTACGTAAGCTGTTCGACCAGCGCAGCGACGGCAATGGAGAGAGTCTTCCAGAAGATCAGCCACGTGGTCGGAGACGAAGAGATGACGATGAGCAGCGATGCAGCCAGGACCCGTAATAGCCCCGAATCTCTGGTTCGGTCCCCCTTATATCTGCCCGGCGTGGCTAAGCTCCACCTCTGGCCACGCCCCCTTTTCCGGAGCTTCTCGACTGACTCCGCCCTTCACCTTTACCCCTTATAATAAGGCATTATATAATGCAGTCATAACCGTAATGTCCCCTGCAGGCCGGCAGGTGTCACCCTGTCATTACACAAGTATGGTGAGCTTACATCTCGCCTCGCCTGGTATATAGGAGGTTTTGGGTTCGATCCCGACCCTGACGCCTGTATATTTGGAGTTTGCATGTCTCTCTCTCCCCATGGTCATGTGGATTTTTTGTCCGGGTCCTTCGTTTTATCCTCCAGATTTAGAAACGTGCGTTTAGAGAATTTGGCTGCTATACATTTCCACGTGATAAGCCACTTCGTTGAGCTATTATTTGTGGCCAGGTGACTTCTAAAAAAGCTGTATAAGTCAGCGGGCCTTACCTTGTAAAATAGAACATAGTTTAGTTTATTTAAATTGATGAATAGATACGTCGTGACACCCCTGCTACATGTGGCATCTCTATGCCATATGTAGCTTAATGATAAACAACAAACCCATGTATACGCATGTCGAGAGAGAGAGAGGAAAACCACATTGCGAGCTTGTACGCACCACGCTGCAGATTGAGAGACAGGCCGGGTCAGAGGTGGTTCGAAGTGGTGATCCAGCAGACGAGGGATATTGGAGTTGATGTGGAGATGGTCCAGGACAGATATGATTGGAGAAACTGGGCCAGAAAGGCAGGCCCGACATGAGTAGCAAAAAAAAGAGATAATGCCCTTTCTAAGACATTAGCGACGAATGAATATACTTGCATAGAATCTCACGGGAAACCCCACTGAGTTAATGTTGTTTATTCACGCTGGTAAATGAAAATTCGCAGTCAAGCATATATAAAGAAATTAATACATACTATATACTAGATCATACACTTCTCTGAAGCCATACATTGTGGTCATGATCATTTGTTTGAATATCTTTTTTATTGTCTTTCCCCCCCAATAATTCTGATTGTGCTTGCAGTGCTAATGTCACGAGGGCAGTGCCAATGTCACGAGGGCAGTGCTTGCAACCTCCTCCCCATGCCAGAGAATGGCCAGCAGCAGCCGATGCCAACAGATCTATAGGCACTCCTTGGAAAAGCGCACGAATCTCAAAATCGCGTATATCAAAAGCAACTTTCCCATAAAAAATAATGGTAAAGGAGGGGGTTAGGGGATTTCACTCGCACTCGAAGACATAGCGCCTACATTATCCTAGCCTATATTAAAACGATACATGTGTAACGACTGACGACGCAGTAGTAAGAAGAGCCAC